TTCATGTGTGCAGTTAGTCAGCAATATGACTTTCTGTTTTTTAGATGCTGGGGTGGAATCTGGTGTCTCTCTCACAGTTACCACTAAGCTATCCTTGACCCATAATACAACTTTTATACTTAAATCTACTCTCTTGTGTCAGTGTTCCCAAGACCACCTCCAAGTTTGATGAATCATGAGGACTTCTCACAGGACTCAATGTATAGTTGAATTCATGGCTCTGATTTATTACAGCAAAAGTAAATGAGGCAGAATCAGCAAAAGGGAGAAGGGAGAAATGGGGTAAGATGTGGAAGAAACGGAATATAAGCTTCCGAGAATCGTCTGGTAGTCACAGAGAGCACACTTCAGTCTCCCTGCAGAGTTGGGACAACAAATGAAGTGTTGTCAAGCAGAGAAACTTTTTAGTAACTCCTTGTTGAGTATTGTTATTGAGGGCTAGTAACATAGCCACCTTTAAAATTTTGATCCAATACCATCTTCTGACTTCTTCAGGCACTGTAATTCGTGTGGTGCTCTTACATATATGCAGGCAAAACACTCATACACATGAAAAAGTAAGTGAAAAATATTTTTTTTAAAATCTGGAATTAACAAATGGCTCCCACTGAACCCGTTTCTTCTAAGATAGCCTTGCCCAGGGTACCCGTATCTGCTTCTTAGCCGCCCTTCATGCCTTGGCTCAGATGTCACGTGTTCTCAGTGATAACTTCACTAACTGTATTAAATTTTAAAACTGTATTAAAATTCGGGGCTGAAGAGATTGCTCAGTGGTTAGGAGCACTGCTGCTTTTGCAGAGGACCGAGGTTCAATTCCCAGCACCCACATAGATTTCCTAACAACTATCCTTAACTCTAGTTCCAGGGGAATTCACTCTGTTCTGACCTCTGCAGGCACTGCACAACACTGTGCACTTAAATGCATGCAGGCTATACTCATATACATAAAATTTTAAAAAATAAAAATATATTTTAGAAATTGGAACTCTCCTCCCTCAAAAGCCCTCCATACCCACACCAGATACTCCTGTGTCCCTTCCTGCCAGTAACTGTCCTCCTCAGTCCTCACATTACTGCAATAACTCTTAAATATTTCTTGAAGCAGTGAAACATGAGTCATTGTTTCCTTGTTAGAATCAGTAACATTCAGCAGAGGGAGGTGAGCAGGAAGCTTCTGTGTGTCTTCATTCCCAGAGCAGCCCTACCTCTCATGAAGAACTCCTGCCAGTGTCTAAATCATTTTTCCCAGTAGCTGGCCTGAGTATTTTCCTCCCTTTGAGAAAGTTTTCCTGTCTGTGGATAAAACAGGAACTTGTTAGAGGTTTTTCATGGGAGATGAGGTGGCAAGTGTTCATCTGAACGAATGAGAATTCCATGTCCTTCCAGTGGCTACACCAGACAGTGTAAAAGGTGACTTCAGCCTCCTGCAGTGCACAGCAGTCGTCCCCTCACCAGGTGTTTTAATTAGCTAATTAAACGTAGTCATCTTTGTTTCCTTTAAAATAAATTGAGAGTACACTATTACTGAGATAAGGATGTGGTTTGGATGTAAAAATACTGTTTTTTTATTGAGGTTAATTACGTTCATTGATCTAAATTAATTAATTAGAAAACATTTAAGTTTTTGTGGGTTTTTTTGTATGCGGGAAGATTGAGTACTCCACCTGTGAAGCAGCAAGTCTTATTAGAATCACAGGCTTTCGGGCTCAAGACTAAGAACAATAACAACAAACTAACAATTACTGACATTAAGAACTTAAGTAGGGGCTGGAGATGGGGCTCAGCAGTTAAGCGCACTGGCTGCTCTTGCAGAGGACACAGGTTCAATTCCCAGCACTCACATGGTAACTAACAACTGTCTATAACTCCAGTTCTAGGGAAATTCAACACCCTCTTCTGACCCCACGGCCATTGCATGACATGGGTGCGCTTGCATACATGCAGTCAGTACACTCATACACATAAAATAATAAAATATTTTTTTAAAACTAAGAACAAAAAAATGAGTTACTGACATTAAGAAATTAAGTAGTTCACTTATGATTTTCTTTTTTTTTTTTTCTTTTTGGTCTTTTAGAGACAGGGTCTCCCTGTAGCCCCAGCTGGCCTGGAACTCACAGAGATCCACCTGCCTCTGCCTCCCGAGTGCTGGGACTACAGGCATGTGCCACCACACCCGGCTCAGTTATGATTTTCTTAATTTCAGTTTCTTTATCTTTAAAACAGGCAAGATGCTTTCAGTATGGCATGCTCTGGTAATACTGTCTGTGGAGATGCAAATGTTCTCTGTGCTGGCCAGTGTGGTAGCCTCTTTCCTCAGATGGTAGCTGAGTACTGGAAATGTGGGTAGTGTAAATGAGGAACTGAAATTTCTGTTTTATTTAATTTTATTTTAATTAAGATTTAATTGTTGCCAGGTGTGGTGGTACACGCCTTTAAGCCCAGCAAGCCAATCTCTCTGCGTTTGAGGGCAGTCTGGTCTACACAGCAGGTGGTAGGCCAGCCAGACTTACACAGAGAGACCCTGTCTCAGAAAACAAACCAAACAAACAAACAAAAGATTTAATTGTGGCTACCAGCTACTAGTGGTCTAGACAGCGCCTGCATGGTGGTGATTAGAATGTATACAGTGCTTAAGTTAATGCTTGGCACATTGATTCTCAAGAAATGCCAGTGTTATCACATGTATTAAAAGTAACCGATGTTAACTCATTTGTCAGTTTTTTAGGTTTGCTGAGAGTGCGTTCTCATTCTCTGAACCGCTCATTTGTGCGGATCTTTTATATTAGCCATTTTCCTAAGGAATCACGATAGTTCATCTGTAGAGTACTAAGACTAGACAGTGCTAGTGATTTACTGGACTTTTCCCCTCTAGGTTTACAAGAAGATCCACAAAGCCCCCCGCCTCTTCCTACTGAAAAACCTATTGGAAATACTTACAGTACACGGTCTGGAAAACTCAGTAATGCTGACAGAACAAGACAATTGGTAAGTGATCAGGACAGGTTGTGTTAGGCTGAAGACAGAACTACAAGCTAACCTTAAGTGCTCAGTTGCTATATAAATAATTTTAACATTTGTTAGATTTTCTGTTTTTGTTTTTGTTTTTATTTTTTTGAGACAGGGTCTCACTGACCTGGAATTCACAAGATCCACCTGTTTCTGCCTCTGAGGTCCTGGGATTAATGAAGTACACCACCACTCCAGCCTACCCCTGGGAGGCAGAGGCAGGCGAATCTCTGTGAGTCTATCTCAGCCTGGACTATGTAGCAAGTTCCAGGCCAGCTGGGGCTACAGGGAGACCCTGTCTCAAAAAGACCAAAAAGGAAAAAAAAAAAAAAAAGGAACTCAATTATTAAGCTTCATGTACTTACTTCATATTAAATCTAGTATTTTAGAAGTTCCTATGACGGACTGGGTTCATTTATTGTATTTCATTATAAAATAATTTGTCCAATACCAATATAATGACATTGCCTTTTAAACAATACTATAATAATAATAAATTATTAAAACTTTCAAAAACATTTCATATTTGTGGAAATAGATTTAGTCAAATTGTGAATTTCTATTTAAAATGCCTAAGTAATAACATTTTAGATAAGTAGTCTAAGAAGTTTTTATCTGAAATTTAAGGAAAAAAATTTAATTAAAATATAATGCTTTTATTCTACAGTTGTTAAATGATATCCAGAAAGAACTTTTGTGTATATATTTTAAATTTTGGCCTCAATACTGTCCTATTGTGCATTTTAAAAAATTTCCTCCTGGTAGGTGATCTTTATGACTTGTTTCAAGAGAAATCAATTCTCAAAAGTCTTTAAACCAAATTTTCAGTTCAGTTTTTATAATAGTTTTACTTCGTGCATTAACTGTGCTTATCATGCAACCAAACCTATCTAATCATCTAGTGAAGAGACATTTCTTTGAAAAAGACATTAAATTAAATTAGCCAATACCAAGTTAATGAGATTTTCTGTAGAACGAATTAAAATTTAGTGATCATTTGTATTTTCAAAGTACTTGATAATAAATTTTTATTAAAACTGGCCCAAAGAAGAAGGCAGTGCGCCTGGTACTGTAGTCCAAAGCTGCTGTGGAGGGGTAGGTGCTTGGGAAGATTAGAGGCTTCTACTCTTGAAAGGAAGAGAAGTGATGAGCATGTGCATATTGTTCCATGAGTGATGGGCTTTATGAATGACAATGCTCCATCAAAATACTAGGATTAGTACATGTAGTGTTAAGCAGTCCAAGAATAATGCCTATGTTTAGGGGAAAAAAACAAGAAAAGGAAATTAGAATACAGTAAACCAGTTATGACCATGCCTTACATGGACACCATGAAAATCCTGCCCTGTGCTGTTCACAAAGGGTATCAGCCGTCCACACATCGTGCAGACCGTAAGAGACACGCTGAGTCTGAAGGAGAAGGGATGAGGGAGCAGAACACAAATGCGTGGTTTGCCTAAAGTTATATGTATGGATTTCTGGAGACTGAGGTCAAAAATATGCCTAAGATAGTTCTTTTGAGAATTATAGTTACTGAAAGTCTTTCAGGCCTTAAAGCTATAGATGAAGGTCTCTAGAAGGGACCAGTAGAGCCCAGGAGGATAGATACTCTTTGCCAACTTGACCCTTTTGACAAAAGCCTGCCACAGGACAAAAACCCTCTACTGTTTCTCTTGAATGAATGCTGGAAAGCTTTTCATCCCAGGTCCCGAAGCTCCATTTGACAAACTTCACATTCTTTACTTACATGATGGATTCTACGGTCCCATCCAGAGTGACTGGAGCCATTCTGTCAGAACAGACAGTGAACCCTGTTGCCCATCGAGAGAGCACAAGACTCAAAACATCCCCTAAAGAAGCCAGCAGCTATGCAGAGAACCAGGAGATGCTATGTAGTACCTGTCAACATCAGGCATACAGCACAGAATTGTATGTGCTGAAGATGAGCTGACTTTAGACTCAGGACATAAGAAGCAGTACTGACTCCTAGAGAAAATACCTGGAGAGGCTGCACAGTAATTCCACCAATTTCAGCACACATATATGTGGTCTTGGGAAAAGGAGAAATAGCTGCCTCTTTTGAAAATACACAAAAATAGGCGCTGGAGTGATGGCTCAGCAGTTATGAGCACTGGCTGCTCTTACAGAGGATCAGCGTTTGGTTCCCAGCACTCACAAAAGCAGCTAATGCTCCAGTTCCAGAGGATCCAGCACCCTCTTCTGGCCTCTTTGGGTATTGCATGACATGGTTCGTTTACAAGCAGGCAAAACAAACACATGAAATAAAAATAAGTAAACGAAAACAATTCAATTAAAATTATACAAAAACCTGAAGAATCTCTGGGCATGGTGATGCATGCCTATAATCCCAGTACCCCAAGAGGCCGAGACAGGAGGATCATAAATTCCAGACCAGTCAGGGGAGGGGGCCAGTGATTATTCTAAAATTAAAGTAGATTTCTAATGCAGATGATTGAAAAATTGCATCTAGGGGGATGGAGAGATGGCTCAATGGTTAAGAACACTGGTTGTTCTTGCAGAAGACCCGGGTTCGAATCCCAGCACCCACATGGCAGCTAACAACTGTCGGTAACTCCAGTCCCAGGGGATCCGACAGCCTCTTCTGACCTTCACAGGCATTGCATGACATAGGTGCACCCACATACATGCAGGCAATACACGCATACGCATAAAATAAAAATAATAAATTTTTTTTAAAAATTGCATCTATAGCCGGTGCATGCCTTTAATCCCAGCACTCAGGAGGCAGAGGCAGGTGGATCTCTGTGAGTTCAAGGCCAGCCTGGACTACATAGTGAGTTCCAGGACAGCTGGGGCTACAGGGAGAACCTGTCTCAAAAAACCAAAAAAAAAAAAAAAATTGCATCTATAGAGACAATACAAGCAGAAAAATAAACTCTGTCAGGGACTCAGATGCTCAGCAGAACACATAAACAGCAAAGTTCAGGGATGTCAGAACTAGAAAAATCTGCAAAAGATGCAGAAAAGCTTCACATCATGTGTGGACTATTCGAATAAGAGGAAATCTCTGATCAATGATCTTCAAAGGCTGTGGGCAGAACCTGGGCACCAACCCAGACTTGAGCAAACACTGACCAACACATACAGCACACTCTTCTCGGTGTTTGGAGGATGTCATGTATGGCAGTGCCTTCCAGGATGTGCCTTTTTTTATTACAGCTTGAAATTTGATAAAAAACTGGGGCAATTTGCCGGGTGTGGTGGTGCACACCTTTAAACCCAGCACTCAGGAGTCAGAGGCAGGCAGGTCTATGTGAGTGCAAGGCCAGCCTGGTCTACATATCGAGTTCCAGGCCAACTGGGGTTACATCATCATCATCATCATCATCATCATAATAATAATAAATAATAATAATAGAAGACAAAACCTCTACCCAGAAAAACTACAGCTAATATTTGGCTCAAAATTAGTATCATATGCTATGTATTTATTATAGCACATCCTGTAATATATACCTTCCCATGCCAAAGTTATATATTAATATTCTTGTTTTTAATTTCCCCTAATTATTAAGGCATTTCATAACTAATTCAGAGAAAAACCAATAAAAAGTTCTCCTTTCCTGTAATTGTTTGTTTTAATTTTAAAGATGGCCGAGGAAAGACATGCATTTTATCGAGGCAATATGGTCAGGAAGAATTACAGGCAGCAGCATGTTTATAATGCGTGGGTTATATTCTGGAATATTACAGGGTTTATGAGCTGGTGACTTGCTTCACTTCATTAAGTGAATTCATTAGTGAAACCAGGTTTTAAGGGCAAGCTTAATTTGTTTTTAAAAATGAGATTTAAAAAAAATTGAAACATGTTTAAATTATCATAGTTATTAGCAATTAATCATTTGGTATTTAAGGAATGTTATAAATAGCATACACTAAAAATCATGGAAGGAAGTTGTAACTTATTTGTTATAGGGATTAAAAAGAAGTTTGAATTTGCCCCAAGATTCTTAAGCTATAATTAAAGCCCCTTGATTAAATAAAAAATAAATAAGTTTAATGCTGTGTAATTTTAAAGGGCTAGAAAATTTTCCCCTTGAAGTCTTAGAGAAATACTATTTTATGGGTCTCATGTTGGTGTCTTTAAAAGTAAGAAAGCAGGTCTTAGTAGGAAAGTTTTTCAATTTTTCTTTTTTTATTATTTTTATTTTACGTGTGTGCAGTGCCCAAGGAGGCCAGAAGAGGGCTTCATATCCCCTGGAACTGGAGTTAAAAGGACCATTGTGAGCTGCCATATGGGTGCCAGGAACCGAACTTAGGTCGTCTGCAAGAGCAGCCGATTCTCTTAATCGTTGAGCCATCTCTCCAGCCCCATTTTTCAGTGTTTCAGTTGGATACGAATTTAGAACTTTTCTAAAAGAAAAAAAAAAAAAATTGGCTTTGAGATCCTTGACCTATGAGGCATATAGGAAACCTTTAAACAGCGCAGGAAACCTTTAAACAGCGCAGCCTGAGTCCCTTCCCTAAAGAATTCTCCCAATTAATCGCCAAACTCCCAAGTTCTTTTGTCTGTTAGGCTAACACTTTCCAAGTAGACTCTTCTGTCTGACCTACTCCCCTTCACTCCTACAAGTCAGCCCATCCAGCCCGCTTCTGGGTGGCACAAGTGCCCTTCTTCTTGCACTTGTGTTTCTCCTCACATGCCCTCCTTTCAGGACACTCCTTAAGCTTCTTCATGTTCTCAACTCCTTCTAGCTCAAAAGCCGCTCTTAATGTTGGAACTATCCAGGAAGGAAATAAGATCTGACTGTTTAAAGTAACACAAATAATCACTTCATTCCCTGTGTTTAAACTCAGGACTGTTTGTTTTGTACAAGTGCAATGAAGAAATACCGTATATTTCTTTTAATTCCCTGCAGTGCTGGCTTAGAGTGTCACTGTGTGACCTTTCATGATTTACATGTTGTCCCTCATGTCTTACTGTGAGCAGAGCCAGTGGTACCACTGTCCAACCTCCACAGAGTACCCTGGTTCCCTCCTCTGTGTTTTCACTTGTATCAGGATGTGGCTTCTTCAGGTAGAACTGAGTGATGAATTAATACTGCTTAATACTTGACATTCTTTGCAACTGTTTTCTATAACTCAGCAGCATTTCCACTTAGAGACTCACCCAAATAGTTGTCCCAAGTTCCTCCTGCAAGCTCCTGTTTTAAGTTAGTCTTCACTAAAAAGCATTCTGTGATACTTGTAGGAACCAGACCATGCCGGTGAATCAGGAGGTTTGGTACAAGGACCCCCCAGGTTGCCACCAAGGTAGGTAAAGTATGGAAAAAGCTAAAGGAAAATTATTTTCTTAGAGGTCTGGTTCTTTTTTCTTTTATTATTTTTCTCATATCATCCATACCCAGGGCTTTGAACCTTAGATCTTGTTTTAGAGAGAAACTCACAAATCTATCCAGGCCAACAGCCTGCTTGTGACAGCAGGTTATGGGAATCTCTGATCTTTTCTTCTTTTAACAAAGTCTGAAAACTTATAGAGCCACAAACATGAGTCTCTTTTATTTTTCTTCAAACAAGTAAGACAACTCTCCAAACCTAAAATAACTCCACTTCTGAAATCTACACACAAATACCCTCCCAGTTAGGAAAGGTGAGCTTGCTTTTCAGCCCCTCCACAGTGAACTCAGAGGTGGCCTGTCACTGGAGTTCTAGAGCTATCTGAACAAAAGGCTGGAATGCTTTCAGAAGACCTTGCCATGTTGAAATTTATGACAATTTAGCAATTAAGGGAAGGCTTTCAGAGTAGTTGTTCCATCCCAATTTTGGAACTAAGTTTCTTTAGGTTAATCTAAATTAAAGTAATGTGAACATTTAGGGGATTTGAGTGTTCCTTTTCTAATCACACAAAAGACATATACCTGATAGCTTCTTATATGTGAGCTTTTTGTCTCCAACTATGGTGGAAAGTACTTAGATCCCTAAAATAGTCAGAATGTTTTTAAGAGCAGTGGGGGCCTTAGAGAGCTCCTGACAGTAAATGCTTGTTTGTCGTGAACTTATGAATCTCTAGTGCAAGATAAGAGGAACCTTGTGGCATTTCCTCTAATAATACAATGTTTAATGCAACAGTCATTTACTCAAAAATAGCATACCCTGCAGATTTCAGTAAATTGTATCCCACTAGCAGAAAAGCTCCGTGTGTGTGTGTGTGTGTGTGTGTGTGTGTGTGTGTGTGTGTGTGTGTGTGTAAGAAAGGATGGAACTGAGCCCAGTTCAGTTCAAACCACTGACTCATGGCTTCACACTGCCTTTCAGACCTGTACATGGAAAAGCCATTCCAGTGTGGAAGCCTCCTCCCAAGGGGGCCCCTGAGAGGCCGCCTCCCCCTAGATTTTCTGCAACCAAAACATCAAGTAAAAAATTGCCTTTTAATCGATCCTCTTCTGACATGGATCTTCAGAAAAAAAAAAGTCACTTGGCATCTGGGCTCTCAAAAGCTAAGAGTCAAGTCTTTAAAAACCAAGATCCGGTGCTACCCCCTCGCCCCAAACCAGGACACCCTCTCTACAGGAAATACATGGTAAGTCTGGATTTTAAAAATATTTGTAGGTAAGAGGTTGATCCTAGGATAAGTAAGATCTATAATCCTTAGGAAAAGGTGGTAAAATAGAGAATATCTCTTGACATTGAAAGGGCCTTAGAGAAGCAGACCATAACCAAACCAGGTCTTGGCAGGCTGTCATTTTTAGGAGAAATACAAGGACAGAGAAAACCAGTAAACAAGGATTGTAATTCACTATCTCGTTGGCCAAACAGAAACCCGGAGAAACCTGATCCAGTAGGGCAGATACCATAGTTTATCTCTTGGTATAATTTGTACTTTACAGATGCTTTGCCCACTGTGACTAGGATTTAAATGAAGTAGAAATTAAGTTTTCATTAAGATCATTGATTTTCTTACATTTTTTTCCATTTTGTAAGCCTAATTATCATGGTCCATTTAATAGGTACTAGTTAAAAGTTTTTATTGGTAATTGAGATAGTTAAGTATTAATTTTGTTCTCTTTAAATGTTCTTTTATCAAATGAGTTTTCCCTGAGTTTCCTACAGATGAAAACCAGAGTTGATATGCTTTCTGTGTGGTATGGTTAACCAGAAAAGATGAAACCATTAAAATGATAAGGGGACAGGACTGTTTGTACTTTATAAACAACTGTGTGACAGTTCGGCTCTTAACAAGCACAGCAGTGGTAATTTTAGTCTGTTCTGTACGTCCATCAAGCCAGAAAGTGGTTTCTACTTTAATCTATTTCAAGCTTTGATGAGAGAATAGACAGATAAACAGATAATGTGCATAACCATTTAAATTCATGAGCCCCTTTGTTTCTCAGTCTTTTGACTAAGATCAAATATAAACTGATGAAACTTTAATTACCAAAACCCAAGGGACAGATCTGTAGGATAGACTTCTTGGTAAATAAATTAAAAACAGTAATTGGTATATATTGAAAATTATTAGCTAGGCACCGTCAAAGAACATTTTATATATTCCATATATATGTGTGTATGTATTTATTCCTTATATAAACCTTGTAAATTAGATACATTGTTATTATTATTTTCATTGTATAATTAAGGAAAATAAAACAGAGATTTAAGCTAGCTAGCAGTGACATCAGGATTTGAACACAGAACAGCTGAACAGCTGGCACTGAGACCATACTACTGACCATTTTACCCTGAACACAGTGTTACTAGTTGTGAGGTCTCTGCTTGCTTTCACTGTCCTGTGCCAAGATCACTTACCCAAGGGGAGCCAGGCTTAGGGTTTTTTTGTTTTTTTGGTTTGTTTTTTTTTTTTTTTTTTTTTGTCTTTTTGAGACAGGGTCTCCCAGTAGCTGTCCCAGAACTCGCTATATAGACCAGTCTGGCCTTGAATTCACAGAGATCTGTCTGCCTCCCAAGTTCCCAAGTGCTGTGATTAAAGGCATGCACCACCACACCCAGCTTAGGATTCTTTAATACTTTATTGTTTTTATTTTATGTATATGAGTATATTGCCTACATGTATATCAGTGCACCTATGTTGTGCAGTGTCCCTGAGGTCAGAAGAAGGGGGTCAGATCTCCTGGAACTGTAACTCCACATGGTTGTTAACTGCCCCCTGAACCTGGGCAAGAGAAGCCAATGCTCCTAAGCAGTGAACCATCTCTCCAGCCCCTCATTTAGGATTCTTTTTTTGTTTTGCTTTTGTTTTTTGTTTTTATTCCAAAGAGAGGTTTTTGTTTTGTTTTGGTTTGGTTTTGGGGGGGGGGCTTTTTGAGACAGAGTCTCCCCATAGCCCCAGCTGTCCTCGAACTCACTATGTAGACCAGGCTGGCCTTGAACTCACAAATCTGCCTGCCTCTGCCTCCCGAGTGTTGGGATTAAAGGCGTGTGCCACTATGCCTGGCGAGAGGCAATTTTTAACACATTTTTCCAGAAATAACTTAAAGGAGGTCACATAAAAATATATACACAATGAAGTTTAAAGGGGGGAAATAGGATTAAGAAATCAAAGACCAAAGGATTTGCCAACATGGGGTCAACTTTGGTAGAATAATGAAGACTTCCGTTAGCTCTGTTCTTTTTTTTTCTTTCCTTTTCTTTTTGAAAATCCTAACTAGTCTTGCCAACAGAGAATACGGTGGTGGTTTATTTACAGGAGTGTCCCCCCCCCCCCGCCACCTTTACAGCTCTGCTGGAAAGTCCACACTCAAATATAGATCCTGTGAGTTCCCAACAGCCTCACAAAATGGCAAGAGAGGTGCCTTATGTATTGGCTTGTATATTGTTAGCCCCTCCCCGACTTGCAGCTAAAGTCGACTCATTGGGTAGGAGCCTTGACTCCTTGATGAGCATGGGAAGGAGGTGTGACTGTAGCTTGCCGGCATAGTGTTGGAAGACATTTCCAGATAACACTTCACCCCTTCCTCTGGCTCTTACATTCTTTTTGCCATCCTCTCCTGCAAAAGTCCCTGAGCCTTGGAGGGGGTGGTAGGTGTGGGATGATCTTCCTTCCATTGTGGCAAGGCACTGAACTTTCAGGTCTCTGCATCATCTGTTTTCCATGGGCTACTGGCCTATTTCCATGGGATTCTCACTTAGGGTTCTTAACATAGCCGTATAATGTTAAAACATTTAAGGAATTCAAAGAAATTAATAAGTTCAAAATGATAGTATATACTGAGTGATACATCTCGTTATCAAACAAATCCTTAAATCCTTAGGCCAGGCGTTCTGGCGCTCGCCTTTAATCCCGGTGTTTGGGAAGCAGTCAGATCTCTGTGAGTTCGAGGCCAGCCTGGTCTACATAGTGAGTTCCAGGCTGACTGGGGCTACAGGGAGACCCTGTCTCAAAAAGACAAAAAAAAAAATCCTTAAGTCCTTCTTTTTTTTCCTCCTTGGCTTATACTACCATTAAATGTGTACCAGGAATCTGTATACATTGGGAGTCCTGGGCTCTGAGGAGATGTGGAGAAGTGATACTACTCAACCTAGTTTTACATGTCTTTGCTCTTGGGTAACCTAAACCCAGGTAGCCTCCTTCTCTGTGTTTTAAGTGAGTATCTATATTATGTAGAACTTCTGACATGTACTCATCAGCCAGAATTTACCAAGGTAGGGTACAGAAGCCTTTGGACAGGGTGGAGTCCAGGTATAAAAACCATTATAAGATCACACAGCTAAGAGACCAAAAAGTTACTGGAGTCAGGCAATGAAATGGGTTCAAGAAGAGACAGATACTGGGTACCAGGGAGACTACAAGGCAAAGAGAGTCAAGCACTGTAAAGAAAGCTTCAAAGGGAATCTGAGGCCACATTCATCCCTTGTGATCCTGTGGGCTCAACTCCATCCCTGATAGCTTTAATGCCCATGAGAAATGGCTGGCCCCACTGGATCCAGGGCACAGAGAAGCTTGTTTGAGAATTTAACTGCCGAAGATGTCATACTTTAGGCACACATGTCATATTCCTAACTGATCAGCAACAGGTGAGGGGGTTTTTTCTTTTTTGTTGTGAATAATTCTGTTATTGGTTTACATTTAAGATGTCCGTGCCTCATGGAATTGCCAGTGAAGATATTGTCTCCCAAAACCCTGCAGAACTTTCTTGTAAGGTAAAGTAGAGCTCTTTCTTTACTGACTGATGCAAAAAAAAAATTGCTGCCCTCTGTTCCTGCTAGTACACATTATTAAATGCTTTAGGCTCCAAAGATTAAAATGTGGAAAAGTAATAATGTTTTATTAAATAATAATTGCTTCAGAGAGTGGTATTGTACCTTACAGCGTGGGGATGTACTTGTGATCCTGAAGCAGGCAGAAAATAATTACTTGGAATGCCAAAAGGGAGAAGGAACTGGCAGAGTTCACCCGTCTCAGATGAAGATTATCACTCCTCTTGATGAACATCTTAGAAGCAGACCCAATGTAAGGAATTGATATTGTATGGCTCTCCTATCATACATGGCTACACATTTCATGAAACTATTAATTACATCTTCTCATCCTCAGGTTTTTTTATTAACACAGGTATTTTAACAAGAATGAAATAGGAGCAGTTTACTCCATTTTTAGAATAAATAGCTTCTGAGAGACTTGCCACTGCCATCCTAATCACTTTGGTAGAGGCTGCAGTCTGCCTTGCCTCTTCATGGCATGATGACTTGTGGGAACTAGAAGTGAACTCACTCACTCATGAAATAAATAGACTTAATATAAACAGGCGTGGCTTCTATAATCCCAGCACTCAGGAGGATCAAGAGTTCAAGGTTATCCTTGGCTATATAGCAGAGTTTAAGGCCAGCATGGGTTATATGAGACCCCTGTCCCCCCCAAAAAAGGGAGCCTAATGTAAACCTCATTTCTCTGATTTTAGTTCAGTAAATAATGAAATATAATCCAGTATCTCGGGTCACAATTTAGACCTAACGACAACAAATATGTGATGTGTAGAGCCTGGTAAGATACAGTGATTAGTGAAGGTTTCTTAACACTGCTGGGGACTGAGCTCAAGGTCTCACAGGTGCTACTGTTCATCACTGAGCTGCACCGCTACCCTCAGCATTTTTTTGAGGCATTTAACCCATCCAGTTAAGTAACTTGTTACTTAATCTACCATAGATGAAAAATAGTACTCACCAGTCATTCAACAAAAGTAAAGAATTTGGTGTGTGATTCGTACTAGCTTCCATAATCTAGTCTAATTCTTCTAGGAAAGCAGTTTATGCTTTTGAAGTTTGCTAAGCAAATAAAAAGTGTGTTTTGGGGAGTAGAGAAGAGACGTCTTCAGCTAGCTGCGGCTGGCATCTGAAAATCTAGCTAGTTCACACAGAAAAAGTTCTCCATTCTCTCTGTTTTGATATGGCATCATCCATCTGTTGTAGCGTCCTTCCTCTCTCAGAACATGCTGTTGGTAACCGTTGGAGTTATGCTGCCAAAAGCTATCCTTTTCAGAAAGTGAAAGCTGTGTATTAAAAGTAACTCTTTTATAACAGTCCAGACATTTTCTACTTTTAAGCATCGATTTTTCATCTTGTGCTATAGATTTGCAGAGAATTGGCCTCCAATGGCCACTGTATTGTCTCTGTTGGTAACAATGAAGTGAACTCTCCTTTTAGGTTTTTGGATTTGTGGGTATTGTTACAGTTCTTAAAAAAAAAAAAAAAAAAAAAAAAACTTGGGTAAGCACTTGCCTATCTGGCATGCCCTGGTTTCTATCCCAAACACCAAAGGGAAGAAGGAGGGAAATCCTAAAGTGTGGTATACCTTCCCCTAACTTGGTAAACAGACAATATTAAATGTATCAATTGTGAGTGATTCCTAAGGGACTGGTCATGGAGAAGCAGAGGACTGTCACCACGTGGATTTCAGGAAGCTGAGTTTCTTCCACCAGGATGGGTCATCATTTAACTCTCGAAGATTCATTTTTCAAAAGATGATAGCACCTGGCATTTATTTTAGAATTGGCATTGTATGGTCCCATTTTGTTTAGGAATAGGTAAATAGATAAGGACAGAAAAGTAGACTAGTGTTTACCTTGATTGGAGAGAGGGTGAATGGGGAAGTGACTGCCGATGGGCAGGTTCTGTAGCGGGTCATGAGAATGCTCTAAATTTAGATTTTGGTGATAGTTGGAAAATTCTACGAGTATAAAACCATGCATTTAAATGGATATATTTTGTTTTATGTGAATTATATCTCAGATGTTTAACAAATTAAATGAGCTAATGTTAATGCATATAAGGTATTTACCACAGTGGTTAGAGCACAATAAATGAGAGGTGGTATTACTTAGTCTTAGTTGTATAATAACAGTATTAGCAATGATATAGAAAGACCTTCAAAATAGCTTACTTAGATTTACCTACCAGATGAGCACATCTCAATGGCCGAATCTGGGTTGTACGGCCTCCTTGTGGCAACTCTAGCCGACCTGTTCCAGCTGATGAGCTGCATTGCTCATCATTGAAGGCAGAGAAGGGAAACTAATTGGACGGCTCACATCTTTCCTACTCTCTCACACTTGGGTATATTGAGTTCTTTGGTCTGTTTGGAGACTCATGTTCATGTTAGATGCAAAGTAAATAGATCTCTGACTTCACTTTTTCCAAATCAATACTTATCCAGCCTAATACAACTTATTGAATAGTCATTCCTTTCTCTGTGAATGTAAAATCAGGAAGAAATAAAAATCACATGCACACACCACACACACAATTAATTATGTAACTGACAGTTTTAAAGCCACTAGAAATCTAAAATACCCACAATTACTGAAACTCCCACACTGCTCATTTATTTAGACAAATGCATCGAGCAGGCGCTAAGAAAATGCTTGTGTTGCTTTAGGGAGCTGATAAAGAAATCCACATCCGCCATTACTGTCTTGGCCTAAGTTATGTTTCTGCTTACCTAATTTAAGAGAGCACAGTTTGCCCTGTAATGCATTTTGGTTAAGAAAGCAGATGAGATTCAAGAAAGGTCTGTGCACCAGTGCCGCAGGGCAGGAAGAGTGGGCCATTCTTCGCAGTGCAAGTGATCAAGGGACAGAGTTGAAGTACTGGAAGATCCCTGTGGGGATAAGAGTCACTGAAGGACATAAAGAGATAAAGAGCACAAAAATCTGCCTTCATTTATTTCATAAGTTTGCCAGTGTTGAAGAATTTTAAGTTATAGCACAAAAGTACATCCCCCAAGAACTGAGGATGGAGTGCTTACTTGAACTAGCATGTGTAAGGCCCAGCACCACAAAAATTAAATAAACAACATCCTTGAGTTGGATTTGATGATGATGATGATGATGACGACGACGACGATGATATAGATAAGCCTGTCTCTTCATATAAAGAGAGTAAGAGGCTGGAGAGATGGCCCAGCAGTTAGGAACTCCTGCTGCTCTTGCAGGGGACCTGGGTTCAGTTTCCATCACCCACATGGAGGTTAACATCCATCCCTAACTCCAGTTCCAGGGAATACAACCCCTCTTCTGGCCTCCATGGGCATTGCATGTACATGGTACACTTACATGCATGCAAGCAAAACATTCATACATATAAAATAAAAATTAATTGAAAAATTTAAAAGACTGGGGCTGGAGAGATGGCTCAGTAGTTAAGAACATTGGCTTTTCTTGCAGAAGCCCAGGGTTCGAATCCCAACACCCACATGGCAGCTAACAACTGTCTGTAACTCCAGTTCTACGGAATCCAACAGCCTCTTCTGTCCTCCGCAGGCATTGCATGGCATGGGTGCACTTATCTACATGCAGGCAATACATGCATACACAGAAAATAAAAATATTTTTTTAAAAAATTTAAAAGCTAAGAAGAAGCTAGGTGTGGTGACACACACCCATAATCCTAGCACTCAGATAGTTGAAACAGGAGTTCTGGGCTACATAGTAAGTTCTAGGCCCGCCTGAGTAAGACTCTGTCTCAAGAAACAAACAAAACAAAATGAGAAAGAGAGACAGGGGGAGACAGAAAGGCTGGCTCTAAGTTTAGCAACTGCTTGTCAATAATAAGGTGTCCCTCTTCAGCCTCACCCTCTCTAGCAAATCCAGGCCACTGGATAACTGGACAGAGAATGCTATATTCTCTTTGCTAATTTTCTTAGAATTGCTATTGAATAAACCACTCAGATTAAATAGAAAGTCCAGGCATGGGAGGTAACATTGCTTTCAAATTAGAGAAAGCATTCAGTTAAGTGGTAATAAATGAAATGGATTTTACTTTTGTGAATTATACTTCTGTGGAAAGTCGTTAGCTCCCCTCATCACAAAAAGAGAGCACATAAATGCAGAAATTTCTTCCCATCTGAATAGACATAACTTTGAAGGCTCTTCCCTTACAGTTTAGTACTGTTCAGTTGAAGGGGAGAGTACCCTTGAAAAGCAAAGTGGTAAAAGATGATCACTTTGGAGAAGGATAGATACTGTGATCTTTCGCTTTTCTTTCCTTTTTAAAATTAAAACAGTTCCATTTGTTTTACTTTCTTTAAAAACAGAATGCTTAGGGATATTACAATTAAGCTTTTGCTGCCCCCCCACAAGAACACACTCTTTTTCAGCTTGACAATTCCCTTGTTTAGCTTATCTGTGTGGTTTGCATCTAGTACTCTGTGTGTGTCAAGAGGACTTTAATAAGAAAAAAATAATGGTCTCAGAGTGAATAGTAAACCCAGCATATGTCCTACACACTTCATTCACAGCCCTGTTTTCCTCCCTAGGATTCCGGCCACTCACAGAAGCCTGTAGACAGTGGTGCTCCTCATGCTGTGGTTCTTCATGATTTTCCAGCAGGTAAAGATGTGAATAATAAATTGATGGAGCTGTGGGATTCAGAAGCAAGGAACCCTTCCTGGGGTAGCCTCTCAGAGACACCCTTCTTCTTTTCCTATACCTGGAGCTGTCATCTTGTCCATCACCTCTTGCCTTCAGGAGGAGCACCTATACCTAGTCAGTCCAGGAAGCTTAGCTCAAAACCCTTGCCTTGGAAAGGAGGGCATGTGTTCCCCATACAAATGAAAAAGAGCCAACTATCTACCAGCTGAAAACTTTAACTCTGATTGTGATGAAATTATAGCTCAAAATAACATCCTCCAGGTGATGAGGATAGAACATTTACTTGCCTAGCATTCTGATCAAACTAATTCTAAATTTAAAAACAAAGGTTTTGGGTTTTTTTTAAATGTGTGTATTAGTCACTTTTCTGTTGCTGTGATAGAAACACTGACCCAAGCAATTTATAGAAGGAAGAGTTTATTTGAGCTTATGGTTCCAGGGGAATTACAGGCCATCATGGCAGGAAGGCGTGGTGGCTGGAGGTGGCTGGAGCAGGAGCAGCAGAAGCTAAGCTCTCACATCATCACACAGGCACAGGAAGCAGGAGAGCAACTGGAGATCTGGCAAGGCTTAAGAACTCTCTAAGCCCACCCCCAGTGACGTGCTTCCTCTAGGAGTGCCACACCTTCTAAAACCTCCCAAAACAGTGCCACCATCTGGGGACAAAATGTCCAAATTCATTGAGCCTGTGGGGGACATTTTCATTCAAACCATCACAATGTGTCTCACCTACTGTGAGATAAAAATTAAATTTTGATAATCATTTTTAAGTTATCCTTTATATCCAAGGCTATGAATAGAAAAACTTTATATTTAGAACTTTTTATAAACTTGGCAGATTAATTTTTATTTTAGTATAAATAAATTTTCTTGTTAAAGAGCTATAGTACTCCCTTAGTTCAAATGGTTTTTCTTTTTCCTTTTTTTTTTTTTTTTGGTATTTTTGAGACAGGGTCTCCCTGTAGCCCCAGCTGGCCTGGAATTCGCTGTGTAGACCAGGCTGGCTTTGAACTCACAGAGATCTGCCTGCTTATGTCTACGAAGTGCTGAGACTAAAGGCGTGCGCCACCACACCCAGCTAGTTCAAATGGTTTTTAGCGTGATGGAGAATCATTATTAACAATGTCATACCATGTTTATAAAGCCCTTTTTGTGTGGAATATGTTTTCAGCAAGGGGTTTATTTTGGCACAATAGGAATCCCCTGCCTGCACAATGATGCGTTTAAAGCTATATTGTAGGTGTTTCTAATTTGGACAAAACCACTAACATTAAAAAAAAAAGGGGGGGGGCTGGAGAGATGACTCAGTGGTTAAGAACACTGACTGTTATTGCAGAAGACCTGGGTTCGAATCTCAGCACCCACATGGCAGCTAACAATTGTCCGTAACTCCAGTTCCAGGGGATCCAACAGCCTCTTCTGTCCTCTATGGGCATTGCATGACACGGGTGCACTTACCTACATGCAGGCAGTACATGCATACACATAAAAATAATAAATAAAAATTTAAAAATAATAAATAAATAAATAAATAATAATAATAAATAAGTTTGACGAGTAAAATTTAGTCAATCTCAGAATCAAAAGAATTTACTGCCTCCCTGGAAAGAACTAAATGATACTTTGTTCATACTTTAATCAAATATTCAGGGTGATTTATCATGTATAAACAAATTTCATATTACAGAGCAAGTTGATGATTTGAATCTCACAACTGGAGAAACTGTTTATCTTCTGGAAAAGGTTGATGCAGAATGGTACAGGGGGAGATGCAGAAACCAGACTGGCATATTTCCTGCCAGTTACGTCAGAGTCATCGTGAGTTTTCTTTATGTTATTTGGTCATACATTCAGTGGCACAGTGAGACTTGCAAGTGAGAAGCTTTGAGTTCCCCTTCTCTGTCTTCTTGATTCATTCATCGTTTGGAAAATTAAAAAACAAACATTTGTACTGCACAAGACCAGCCTGACCACAGTCAGTCATGGAAGGGAGAGGGGTTCGCAGGGCCCTAGGCCTTACTACTGAACTATTGGCTAGATAGATTCTGGGAGAGGGGAACCATTACCTTCATTTGTATACCCACTGCTGAGCACACCAGGCTCCCAGCCAGGAGCTCCAAACTCGTGATCATATAAAGAGCCCTGGTGAAACTCAGTGGGTCACAAACAAAATAGACATGAACTGGAGAAAGGAATTTGCAGGGAAGAGCAGGGGTAGACGGGGTGCTAAGGAGACAAGAGGCGGAGACGAGTGGTCAGTATGTGTTATGCACATGTGTGAAGCTGCCACAGAAGAATTTTAAAATGATGAAAGAATTAAAAAATAAATATTGAACTAGGAGTAACTTAAAAAAATAAGCATTTAGCTAGGTAACAACTGAATATTATATTTGAGATCTTAGGATAAAATACAAAAATGTTGTCTGAATTCTAGAGTGAAGGACTACCACAGGACATTGGGTAGATCAATTATTCTTGGAGAGTTGTTAAGCAATTAAGGATTTATGTTAATTCAGTTAGTGAACATGAGTTAAGTTGGTTGGTAATTGACAGTCCTGCAGTGATGTTCTTTGAGGTAGGTCATGGTACCATGTCAGTTTGAGAATACTAAAATACTTTCACTGGAGATAGTGGTCCATTAATGGTTTTTCACCTAATAATTTCAAGTCTGATTAGAGAAAAGTATATAGAGGCATCAGAGTTTTATATTGCCTAACAGCCTGACTTGTGAACATACAATAGTATGTTGAAACCTTTCATGGTAAGCCTGGATAGCTATGAAACATAGGGATAAAACAAGATGGCCCTTAAACACTTACATCAATAGGAAAAATATGACTCACTCCCTGATATAAATTATTGATACTATGAAATATCAATAAAGCTAGCTTAAAAGTTAAAAGCTTATTTCAAAGGAGAAAAAGCCAATAATTTTCCATTATATCAGAAACTTATAAAATCGAAGTTTAACAGAAAATCTGTTAAAAATCTTTGAATAGAAATGAGTTTGAGTCTTCTGGATTACAAAATGTAGGTCTTAAAAACTATCCAGTGTATACATGGCCTGATTCCCCAACCACATTCTCTAAATTAATATTAAGAGTGATGTTAGTTTTAGCACTCTTCCTCATTTTTCTTCCACCCAGTGTAGCAGTACTTTAAAAAGCACAATTACCACACTGAAATCAATCATACCCAGTCTGCCACATTATTGGTATAAATGTATTTCTAGCCCACAAGTTAAAAAATTTGTTTTAAAACTTCCAACTTACAGAATTTATCAAGAAGGGCACTGATTTATTTAATATAGACTTCGTAGCCACAATTAGTTTTAGACTGGATGCATATGGACCAAGAATTTTGTTATGGCCAGCTCAACTGAGCCCTGTAGACAGGTATCATATGAAGTGCCTGGCATTTAGTAGATGCTCACTTAGTACAAAGTTCTTTTTTCTTACCCTATTTACATTGAAGAGAAAAAAATGCCCTGAAGTTATGAGCATGGAGACAAGCCACAAGTTTGATCAACCACTTCATCTTGGGATCAGGGAAGTATTGCAGAATCCTGCCCTTTATTTGAATCAGGCAGTGGTGCTGATGTGTGATGACCTGGTGGCTAATTTCTATCTTAAGTTCCTCTTGAATAAAGTTTGGAGAAAACTCAGGGATAGAATGATAGTAAAGTGCTCAAGGCAGAAATAAGACTGATTGGCTACTCAAGGGCTTCATGAGAGCATCTCCCACCCCTTTTAGATAGGGTCTCACTGCTATAGCCCAGGCTGGTCCTCATACCTCAGCCTTCTATGTACTGGTGTTACAGGAGTATACCACTACACCCAGTAGTATTTTTTTCCAGGATGTCCTAGTGTTTAGCACCTGTCCTAGCAACAGTTAGCTTCATGGCTTAGTTTCAATCATGAGTTTCCTAATTATTTGGCCCTCAATTTATCTTACCCAATTATGAAAAACAAAAGTGTTACCATGATTTTGTCTTTACTAGGTTGGTATTCCAGAAGGAAGAAATGGGAAAAGAGAATCATTTTCATCTCACTCCGCTAAGTAAGTTTTGTCTGTGTTCTGTCGTACAAAACACAAAGGAGAAAGCAGTGAAGAAACCAAGCTTAAACATTCCCATCCTGTGACTTTACTAGCTTAAAAAGTGATGGTTGTTTGCTGGCTGTGTTGGTATAGGTCTTTAATCCCAGCACTCAGGAGGCAGAGGCAGGTGGATCTCTGTGAGTTCAAGGCCAGCCCTGTCTCTATAGTGAGTTCCAGGCCAGCTGGGCCTACAGGGAGAACCTGTCTCAAAAAGACCAAAAAAAAAAAACAAACAAAAAAAAAGTGATGGTGAGGATACTGGAGACGAGACACGGCTAAGGGGGACACAGCTAAGGGCACGTACTGCTCTTGCAGAGGACCTTAATTTGGTTCCCAGCACTGATATCAGGTGGCTCACAACTACCTGTAACTCCAGCTCCAGGGGATCTGATACCCTCTTCTGACCACTGCTGGGACCTGGACTCATGTGCATGTATCCCCCTACATACACACACACATAATTAAAAATAAATCTGAAGCTGGAAAGATAGATCAGCAGTTAAGAGTACTTACCTCTCTTCCAGAGGGCCTGAGTTTAGTTCCTAGCACCCATATCAAGTAGTGTACAACCACCTGTAACTCTAGCTCCAGGCATCTGACTCCCACTTCTGACCTCATGAGTATACACATATGTGGCATACGTACACATAAATTTTTTAAAAATTAAAAATCTAAAAAAAATGACAGAACTTGCAGCTATCTCACCAGGTAACACACTTGCCACCAATGAGGCAAGCTTGGCAACCTGAGGTCAATTCCTGGAATGCAGCTGACTCCACAAAAAATCCTCTGACCTCCACATGTGCACCATGGTGCCTACGCACACACACACACACACACACACACACACACACACACACACACACACAAACTAACAAAATTTAAAAGATAATTTTAAAGGTCTCATGGGTTACAATTGTGATGAAGCATTGAGGTAGAACTCAGTGTAGCCTAACAGGCCCAGGAGCTTGGGTTCCAGCCTGGCGGGGGGGGGGGAACCTATGATGAAATTGCAGCAGGCTGGGCTGGAGAGATAGGTCAGCAGTTAAGGGCACTTGCTGCTCTTGCAAAGGACCCAAATTCAGTTGCCAGCACCCGTGACAGGTGACTCACAACCACTTGTACCTCCAGCTCCAAGGGATCAGATTTCTGACTTTTCTAGCCTCTGTGGGCATTCACACACATGTGGAATGTGCATACACACACACATGTACACACACAAATGATTTTTTTATTTTTTAAAATATTTTATTTATTTTTATTTTATGTGTATGCGTGTATTGCCTATGTGTAGGTGAGTGCACCCGTGTTGTGCAATGTCTTCGGAGGACAGAAGAGGCTATCGGATCCCCTGGAACTGGAGTTAAGGACAGTTGTTAGCTGCCATGTGGGTGCTGGGATTCAAACCTGGATCTTCTGTAAGAACAACCAGCGTTCTTAACCACTGAGCCATCTCTCCAGGCCCACAAATGATATTCTTAAGAAAAGAAAATATAGCAGGTAGAAGCCAGCCTAAGCAGCCCTCCACACAGGCCTGGGGACACAAGAAAGCAGAGTCTAGCCAGAACTTCCCCTGGCCTGGCCTCGGCCCGCAGAGACGGTTTTGTCATCAATGAGTTTTAATTTGGCCTTCTGGTGCTATTAGCTGGGATTAAAGGCATGTGCCTTTTTTATTTTATTTTATTTTATTTATTTTATTTTATTTTTGTGTATAAGTATATCGTCTGCATTGTGTATAAGTGCACCTGTGTCATACAATGTCCTCAGAGGTAGGAAGAAGGCGTCAGATTCCCTGGAACTGGAGTTACAAACAGTTGTTAGCTGCCATGTGGTGCTGGGAATCAAACCCAGGCCCTCTACAAGAGCAGCTCTTAACCATCTCTCCAGAGCCATCTCTCCAGCTCCTTATGTTGTTTTGTTTTTAAGAACTAGATACAAGTGAAGAAAGAGTTAAATTGAAGGGATCTTCTGTATGTCTAAAGACCTTTCCACGTGTTTATATGCCCTTTTATGCATCATTGTGACTCTTACATGATTTAAAGCCCTGACACAATGCAGCTTTATATTCTAGTTAAATGAGCAAATTAATAAATTCACTACGTGGTAAAGACAGTAAGCCTGTCTTTGAATAGGTCAGACATAAGGAGATATTCCCAGGGGATTGGAGAAAATAAATGCAAGTGTTAACACAAATAAGAAAACTTTTGATGCCACAACATTTGGATCCTACTTCAGTTTCAGGTTTTCTACTCTGAGCAACATGTAACGTGGGAGCAGGTTGAATTTAAAGTGGGCTTGAACATCCATTGACCGCTGACCTCACCTAAATCAGACTTTGATTGCAGCAAGGGCCAACCTTTCCTCTTCAGACAGTTGGTTCTCCTTAGCTTTCTGCTGCTGGAACGTTCCTTCTGAGGTCTCAAATCAAAGGTTTGGTATTAAATCAGACCTAGAGGCCCAGTTTTATCTTTGCTTGTATCTTATTTTCAGTCAAAATTGCAGATCCCTTAAGGATCATTCCAAGTCTCAGAAATGAAGCCTTTTGAAAGGAGAAAGAAAATCACTTTTTAGAGCAACAAAGTTAGTGGAAGATTATGTGTTTTGCAACGCCAAGTTTCAGTTTTCTTTGAACCATCTCCTAATTTGTCAGGCTGTTCCTCTACATCTTTAGTTCACTGCTAGATTCAGTGCATATTGAGCATCTCTTCTGCCCAGCCGATGCCTGCTGCATGCTGCCCTGATTCTTAAGCAAGATGTTTTGATGTCTTGCCCTGAGATTCTCAGGGGGAGTACTCCTGTACCCAGCATATTGTGATTGAAAGGGTTCAGACTGGGCCATGGATTGCTTTGGCACAGGGAAACAAACACATGGAGTCTAGGGAGATTCTGTAATGAAGTAAAAATGATCAAAAGACAGATGTGCCATGTAAACTAACCACTCAGCTGCTTATCTGGAGCACTGCATATACACCGTGTCCTTGAGCTTTGGCCTTTCTGAGTAATGGGTTCTCCATCTAAAATAAGCATTGTCTTTTAACTGGGTTACATTCTTTTTTCATGGAAATTTGTTTCATAGAACGAAGATAACTTGTTTCATAGTAAACACAAATAAATATTGAAAGACTGAACGAACGTTAAAAAGTATTTTAAACCGGGTGTGGTGGTGCACGCCTTTAATCCCAGCACTCGGGATGCAGAGGCAGGCAGATCTCTGTGAGTTCCAGGCCAGCCTTGTCTACATAGTGAGTTCCAGTGACAGCTGGGGCTACAGGGAGACCCTGTCTCAAAAAGACCAAAAAAAAAAAAGTATTTTAAGTTCTAACTAGAGAATACTTAATTCTATTTTATGAAACGTTTCCCAATTCTAATTGAAAACAAAGCCAATTAAGGTCTGTCTTTATTTATTATTTTAAATGCTCTTTAGCTTAATCTACAACCATGTTCTTTATTCAGGGGCCCAAGATGTGTAGCTCGTTTTGAATATATCGGAGACCAGAAGGATGAGTTAAGCTTCTCAGAGGGAGAAATAATTATTCTTAAGGAGTATGTGAATGAGGAATGGGCTAGAGGGGAGATTCAAGACAGAACTGGGATCTTCCCCCTTAACTTTGTAGAGCTTGTTGAAGATTCTCCCACATCTGGTGCAAATGTTTTAAGTAAGTATGGATGCTTATTATGTCATAGCCTAATTTGAATTAACCAATAGTATAATACTTACTTAAGAATACTTACCATATTCTTAAGGTAGAAGGAAAACTTACTTGAAATGGTAATTTGGGTGGGAGAGCTGCTTTTATTGTTTCAGATATTTAGCAATAGCTTCATATGAGAAATGGCAAAATCTTTTGACCAGAAGTGGACTGCACAGTTTATTAATGTGTGTTCTGGTTGACAGTGAAATGAACAATCCTGGGAGGACCTATATGTCCAGAAAGCATGACTGTCACTTAAAGAGACTGGTCTCGATCCCAGGCTTGTCACTCTCACCCCACCTAACAGTTTCCTCTAATACTGTGGTCTTTTCATCTGACATTTTAATGTGTGTGTGTGTGTGTGTTTCTTTAATATAGGCACAAAAGTACCACCAAAGACCAAAACCGAAAACCCTGGCTCAGGTTCTCAGGTAGGTTGTGTAAGTGGATACTTGTAAGGATAGTCAGAGTCCACTCTGGCAGAATATTCATACTATAATTATCAAAAGGAAATAGTAGAAAATCATTTTTCATATTATATAGCAAATGTTTGTGATGAACTAGATGGTTAATATAATAGTGTGTGCAGACTTTATGCAGACCCTGATAGAAACTGACAGGACACAATGGTATGCACCTGTAGTTGCAGCTCCTTGGGACGCTGCAGCAAGAGGTTTGCTTGTTCCCAGGAGTTCAAGGCTATAGTGTGTTATTCATGTCAGGTGTCTACACTAATCTGGACATCACGATGGCAACTTCCTAAGAGCAAGGGACCACCAGGTTCTTTGTGCTGGTCAACAATTGCATCCCATCGGTAGAGAGGTCCCACACTCCAGCCTAGGTGATACAGCAAGACATCATCTCTTAAAAGAACAAAGACAATAAATGAAGAAGGAGTCCTTCTTGGTGGAGCACACTTGTAATCCCAGCACAAGGGTAGGGGTGGCTTTCACCTATAATCCCAGCACTCAAGAGGATCACCACAAGTTCAAAGCCAGCCTGGGCTACATAGTGAGTTCTAGGCCAGCCTGGGCTACCAGAAGGAGAATTGTCACGTAAAATAAAGAAAAGAAAATGCAGATACAGACACAATTGGAGAATTGATTTATAAAGGGTATAGTACGGAGCTGGAAGATAGCTCAGTAAAGTGCTTACTATACAACATGAAGACCTGAGTTCAATCCCAGAACCCATGTAAAGAAGTCAACTGTGGCTAGACATGGTGATGCACACCTTTAATCCCAGCACTTGGGAGGCAGAGGCAGGTAGATCCATGTGAGATCAAGGCCAGCCTTATCTGCATTTCAAGTTCCAGACCAGCCAAGGCTACAGGGAGACCACCCTGTCTCAAAAAGACTAAACCAAAAGGTCAATTGTGGTGGCATGCATTTATAATCCCGATAACTGGGGAGATAGCAAAGGCAGACCTCTGGGGCTTGTTGGTCAGCCAGTCTAGCCTGATCAGTGAGTTACTGGCCAGTGAAAGACCCTACCTCAAAAACAAGATGGATAGCTCCTGAGGAATGACATGACACCCAGCATTGTCCTCTGCTGCCACATGTACTCACACACACACGTATGAGCACACTTACACATACGTGTACATACATACAAAAAAGGGGAAAAAGTTAAGTGGCTAATACAGAAAAAAATACTTAGCCTTATTAGTAGTCAAAGAACTATATAATTAAATGTCAATAAAACTCCTTTTAACCTTCCAGTTAACAAAGACTTAATGTAACCTAATAATAAACAAATAATTATATGCATATGAATGTAAAAAAAATGAGAAAATACAGATTATTCTGACTTAGCACCTTAAGAAAATGTTAAAACATGAGATGAGATTTCAGTCACAAAGATCATCATAATAGTATAACAGGAAAAAGTTGAAAATAAACTAAATATCATAGTTATTGCGAGAATATTCTGAAGGCTATGAAAAACCTAGATGTATAAAATAAATGCCATGGGAAGAAAGCATATTTTATAGAGGAAGACACAAATAAATATACAGCATTAAAAACTGCAAGAAAAATTGCAAAGAAATAGATGGAAATCGTTGGCGTTAAATTGTCACTAGGTATAAGGTTTTATGTGTGAGGAGGTTTTTCCTCCAATTCTTTATATGCTTCCAGACTTTCCAAATGTTTGGAAATATTCAAAAAAATTTTATAGTGGAAAAGAGAAAAAACTAGATTAAAATTTTTACTGTGGCAGGGCTGAGGGCACAGCTCATTGGTAGAGTATCTGTCAGGACTGTTTGTCAAAATGTCCCTTGTAATTGGGCTATGTGCCTCTTAATTCTCCCATTCCCACAGTGATGGCATCAAATAGGAAAAAGCTAAATACTGCTCTCCAGAAAGGAAATGTTAACATGGTTGCTGCATTTGAGGGGATTGAAAAGTTCCAGTCTTTGGGGCTGGTTACTCAAGTGCAACAGGGCTAAAGTTATTTTGTTTGTTTGTTCATTTGGAGGTTTGAGGGTTTTTTTTAAGTTAGTATGTAAGTATGTATAATGTATGTAGTAAGTAGTATGTATAATGGGTTTCATTATAGCATTTTTAATTTTTTATTTTTGTGTTATGTCTATGAGTGTATTGCCTGCATGCATGTAAGTGCACCCATGTCATGCAATGCCTGTGGAGTCAAAAGAGGGCATTAGATCCCCTGGAACTGGAGCTAAGGGCGGTTGTTAGCTGCCATTAACAAACCCCAAAACAAATGAACAAACAAAATGCATTTAACTTTAGCCTTGTGGGTGCTGGGAACTGAACCTAGGTTCTCTGCAGGATCAGCCAGTGCTCTTAACTGCTAAACCATCTCTCCAGCCCCTCATTATAGCATTTTCATACATACGAGTCATTATATTTTGTTCTTATCTGTCCCTGTCCCCCACTGCCCTTCGTTATAGCCCCCTGTGCTATTCCCTTCCCCTTCTTCCTCCAAAATAGTCCCCACTCCTGTTTTCACATCACATGTCTTCCATTACCTTCTTTTTTTTTGGGGGGGGGGTTCAGATAGAGTCTCATGTAGCCTTGACTGGCCTTAAATTCCTGATCATCCTGCCTCCCCCTCAAGTGCTGATGTTACAGTGTGCACTACCAAATCTTGGCTACCCTGTTGCTTTACTCTGCCTTAAGATCTCTTTTTCCACTGGGCATGGTGGCGCACGCCTTTAATCCCAGCACTTAGGAGGCAGAGGCAGGCAGATCTCTGTGAGTTCAAGGCCAGCCTGGTCTACATAGTGAGTTCCAGGTCAGCTGGGGCTACAGGGAGACCCTGTCTCAAAAATACCACCTTCAGTGGTATTTCTAGTTTCGTTTCACACACTACACACACACACACACACACACACACACACACACACACACACACACACACACACACACGCACACACACACTTTGTTGTTTGTTTGTTGTTTATTTGTTTGTTTTAGACAGGATCTCACTCTGTAACCCAGGCTGGCCTCAAATTCATGGTAGTCTCCCTGCCTTAGCTTCCCAGGTGCCTAGATTTCAGGTGTGGGCCACCAGTTTGGCAGGTTAGAACTTTTTATTTGCTTGGTTTTTGTTTATAATCCATCAGTTATTGAGAAGTGTTCTGTATGCATTATGGCATTGAATGCAGTCTTAAACAAAGCTGAGGCTCAGAGAAGAGAAGCTCAGTAGCACATAGCCAGGAAATGGCAGAGCTGGGTGTGGAACCCTAGCCTGCCTGCTCACATGACCCTACTTACATGACCCTCCACTGCCTACTAATACTTCTGGAATGTTTGGGGGGAGGAGACCTGTCCCAACTTATAAGAGCTGCCTCTCTTTTCTTTTTGTTTTTTTGTTTATTTGTTTTTTTAAGATAGAGTCTCGCTACATTATATAGCCCTGGCCTGGAACTCACTGTGTAGACCAGGCTGGCCTCCAACACAGATCTGCCAGCCTCTGCCTCCCATGTGCTGAGATTAAAGGTGTCCACCCCACACCTGCTAAGAGCTGCCTGTTGACAGAGCAAACCTTCTTCTGACCTATTTGAGGGAAAGTGGATCTTTTTGTTTTGCTTTGCTTTGCTTTATTTTAAGATGGCATCTCATTATATAGCCTTGGCTGACCTGGAATTTGCTATGTAGACCAGCCTGGCCTTGAACTGACAGAGATCCGCCTGCCTTTGCTTCCCTAGGTAGGATTAAAGGCGTGCACCATCACACTCCAGGGAAAGATGTTCTTATTGGAGCATTGCAACTACTCTGCCACATTTGAATGGTTGGTTATCTTGATAGAGTAAATTGCCCCTTTGTAAATTAAAAAATGAATTTTTTGTGTAAATTAGTAAAGTTTTATGCTGTGTTATCTGATGATTTCTGAACTAGGAATTAATAGACAGCTTATTCTGATCCTCTCTGACCCAGACAAGGAAGAGCCTCAGTGGAAATGGAATGCTTCATCAGAATTTCTTGAGTGTCATAAATACTGTGAGATGGCTCAATGGCTAAAAGCACTGGCTGTTCTTCCAGAAGACCCAGGTTCAGTTTCCAGCACCCACATGGCAGCTAACAGCCATCCATTAACTCCAGTTCTAGAGGATCCAGTGCCCTCTTCTGGCCTTCATGAGCATTGCATGCATGTGGTATACTTACATCCAAAACACTCATGCACATAAAATAAAAATAAAAAAATAAAAGTACGGGTGAGGCCTGGGTCGGGAGCACCGTGCTATGAGAGCGGGAAAGGAGCAAACTCTGAGTTTGGGTCTACTCTTCTCCTTAAATGCTGAGTCGGGCTGATTCTTTATTCCGGTGTAACTGTAATGTGGCTTAGTGACATATTTGAGGCACTCTAAGAACCCTCATCTTCCTTACCAGACTCTTGCTTTGGAACAGGATAGCAGCCTTTCTGCAGAATGGTGCAAAGCTCTTCACAGTTTTACAGCGGAGACAAGTGAAGACTTACCCTTCAAACGGGGAGACCGGATCCTGATCCTTGAGCATCTAGACTCCGACTGGTACCGGGGCCGACTGCATGAGAAGGAGGGCATCTTCCCAGCTGTATTCGTGCAGCCCTGCCCAGGTATGACAGCTACTAGACATGGCTTCAGAGGGGCCCGAGGCCTTTTAAACTGTATATTCCTTTCCTCCAGCCATGCTCAATTTCAGTTTCTCATCTACATCTGAAAGGGTTGATAAAGTCATTCATATACTATCTTGTTAGAATTATGTGGAAAGGATAAGCATAGTATTAGCAAATAATGGCAGATTTTTGACTATTAAATATATTTTGTACAATTTTTTTCCAGCTAAGCAAACATTCTTTATCTTTTTTGCAAGTTAATTCAAAATTAAGTAGAAATAGTATGGGGCTAGCCATGGTGGCACATGCCCGTGCCTTTAGTCCCAGCACTTGGGAGGAAGAGGCAGGTGGGTCTCTCTGAGCTGAAGCCAACCTGGTTTACATAAAGAGTTCCAGGCTAGCAAGGGCTACATAGCAAGAAACTGTCTGAAAAAAGGAGAAGAAATGCTCTGAGTAACAAAGGGCGTTTAAAAATGTTTGATTTGTAGCCGGGCGTAGTGGCGTATGCCTTTAATCCCAGCACTCGGGAGGCAGAGGCAGGTGGATCTCTGTGAGTTCAAGGCCAGCCTGGTCTACATAGTGAGTTCTAGCACAGCTGGGGCTACAGGGAGACCCTGTCTCAAAAAGACAAAAGAAAAAAAAAAGTTTGATTTGTGCTTTGCTCCACCATCTTTCTGCATATTTGAAGTTCTGGTGTCTTTACAGCTGAAACAAAAAGTATGGCTACCACAGCTCTGAAGGGGAAGAAAGTCAAAGCCTTGTATGATTTCCATGGGGAAAATGAAGATGAGCTCTCTTTCAAGGTCGGGATGTGTATCTTCTTATTCCTTCATTAGGCGCTGTGAATTTTGAAATGGAGTACACCTGGATGGAATATTGATCATTACCTAAGAATGCAGCATTCTCAGACCTTAAACTGTAAGGGAGGAGAGTGGGTAGAGCCAGGGTATGAGCTCAAGGCCTGCAAGCCTGGTCTACATAGCGAATTCCAAGCCAGGCTACACAGTGAGACCGTCTCAAAAAAAAGTAGCCAAGGTTATCTTAGATCTTTGTAAAATCTTAAACCTAGGTTCTCAGAAATTATTAAAAACCGTAAAGATGGGCTGGAGAGATGGCTCAGCGGTTAAGAACACTGACTGTTCTTGCAGAAGACCCAGATTCAAATCCCAGCACCCACATGGCAGCCAACAACTGTCCCTAACTCCAGTTCCAGGGGATCCGACAGCCTCTTCTGTCCTCCATGGGCATTGCAAGACACAGGTGCACTTACCGACATACAGGCATAATACTCACATAAAATTAAAATAATAAATAAAATATTAAAAAAACATAAAGAACAAAATAGTGTGCTAATATGCATTCATTTGATAATTACAATTTGTATGTGAATAAAACACATCAGCCACATTGACTAACTTTGAAGGTAAATGTGTCAAGGCAAAGCTCTTAAGATAGGGCAGAGTGGACTGGAGAGATCACTCAGCTGTTAAAGAGCACTGGCGGCTCTTGCAGAAGACCCAGGTTCAGTTCCCAGCACCCACATTGCAGCCAACAACCATCCGTAACTCCAGTCCAGGATCAGATGCCCTATTCTGACCTTCGGTCATTGCACAACACAGATACACTTACATACATGTAGGTAATACACCTGTACACATAAAATAAAAGTAAAATAATAAAAATTTTTTTAAAAGTTGCGGCAGAATGTAAACTTGATATTGAGGCCATGGAGGAATGGAATAAGCCAAATGATAAGAGGAAGAAACACTGTTATGTGCAAGAGTAAGAGCAGAGCACAAGGTGCTCAGGACGTTGATGAAAAACAGGTATCATAAGAGCTTTTCCACTGTAAAATGTGGTGGCCCCATAGTATCTTGGTTAGGAATATGGACCCTAGCATCACCTAGATTTTTGAATGCTGATTCTACACTAATTATATGTGCAATCATAGCAAGTTACGTGATGTCTGAGTTCAGCTTCTTTTTCTTTAAAATGAAGAAATGTAAGTCTGGGGAGATAGTTCAGTTGGAAAAGCATGTGTGGACCAGAGCTCAGATCCTCAGTACCCATGTAAATGCCCAGTGGGCATGACAGTCTGGTGGAGACAGAATCCCTAAAACAAGCTGGCTAGCTGTACTAGCAAAATTGGAGAACTCTGGGTTCAAGTGAGAAAACCTGCCTCTATGTATAAGTGGTTGGGGAAGACGCTTGGCATCAAAATCTGGCTTCCACATACATGCACACACATATGCACATGCACCTTCACACACACAAGAGCCCATATACAGAAATAGTCATACACCAGTGTGTATATCACACACACAAAATTTTATGAAAAATCTCTCTGAAATAAGATAATAATGGTAGTGCTCTCGAGAACTGCAGTGTTATGTAAATGAGTTAGTTCCTGTAAAGAGCAGAGACCAGGGCGAAGCATACAGTGAACAGCACACAGCACTCTTTCTCAGCCGTAAATCTTTACATACGCACCACTGTCAGCGTGCCCTCTCAGACTGCAGTGCCATGCTCTCTGTCCCTCTCTGATAGCCTATTTATTTGTCTTCCCTCTCCAGAGTGAGTACTGTATGTACTATACTGTACCTATAGTGCCCAGAACAGTCAGTCACGTAGTGAGTGCTCTGTAAATACTTATTAGATGAAAATATGTATATTTATGTATAGATGGCTGATAATCTTATTGATTGGAAGGACTTCTAAATTCTGAGTGGTGAACTTGGGGCCAGAAAATATAAGCAGGAAAATCAACGTGCAACAAGGCTGACAGAGGTGAGGGAACTGCTGTGAGGGAAAGAGGCCCCCAAGCAAATGGCACCATTAGGTGTGCATCATCCATGTGCTTTATCATTTAATCCTCTCTGCAAATCAAGATAAATGAGTTATATAAAGAGAAGATTATTCACGCCACTCCAGGTAGACTACTCGCCGTGCTTATGCTCTGCAGAAACCAACAATTATTTCTAACTTCTTTCTTCTTACAGGCTGGAGATATAATCACAGAGCTGGAGCTTGTGGATGATGACTGGATGAGCGGAGAACTAATGGGAAAATCTGGAATGTTTCCCAAAAACTACGTTCAGTTTCTACAAGTCAGCTGAAGGTGAAGCCTGACTATTCCCTGGCACAAGAACTCACTTGAACATTCACTTTGACTATCAGATGTTTTGCACTATTTTTTTTACAGAAAGAGAAATATGTAAGGTGTACATGGTACACTGGAATCTGAACGCAGAAGACTTCTAGGTTTTATGGTTAGCGTCCACTCATAGTAGAAAGGTGTGTACCTAGAGATATCTAGAGCAGGGAATCCAGCAAGGATACATCTAGTGGGAATAGCAGGGCAGGTGCACACCTCCCCTGGGAAAGCATCTGATAATGGCAGCATGGGGAGTCTTACAAGCGGGAACTGTACTCAGATCCTTGTTTTAATCAGCACAAGTGAATTAATCATGCTTCTTCCCTTTTTTACTTTAGTTTAAAGAGAGGACATTTGACATTCTACATGCTGTAACTATCAGGACATGGATGGTAATCTGAATTTCATTTTTGATACTCAAATTAATTCTAACAGCTTGAGTGCATTTGTCTTTGTTCCAGACAAATCCTTGCTTCAAGACAGATAGTTTGGTAACTAGTGGAACATTTGTAAGCAGGTGGGGAAATCAGCTCATGTTCCCCAAATGCCCCCTTGTGTTCCCAGTATTTCCCACTTGTTCAGGGACTGAAGGGGTCAAAATTTGATAAATCTTACTTAAAAGAACCAAAACCATCCCTGAAATGCCTTTCTAAAACAACTAACCGATCCACCTATGTGCCATACTCATTTCTTCCTCAGTGTATACATTTATGTTAACGGGGTTATTATAAAGCACATTTCTTAATCTGGAATCATTCCTTTGACAATTACTGGCACCCAAAGGAAAATTCATTTTCTTTGTATTACCCCAGTAATATATAAAAACTGTGTGTTGTTATAGTAGTGCATTATGAATCACGTTTAGTATCTTAGAATACAGAGCAACTGTTAAGATGAAAAACTGTGCCAAGCCCCCATAGCTCATTTCTTCTCAATATAATCAAAAGGGAAAATAATTTAAGAGGACTGAAAGCTGGTACATCACACCCCCCCCAGCTCATCTCTGCACAATTATTAGAGTAAACAAAAGACCACTTTCCTGCCATCCATTGTCATACATTCCAAGCTCAAGATAAAAGTGGTTCTTGCATGACTGAATCAACTACAGTTTATGAGCTAAAGCCAAATAGGTTGAAGACAATCTTCCTAACAGATCAATGGAATAACATTTCATTGGAAATGTAAAACACCTTGTCAACAATGTTCATGCCTTTCTTCTGTTTTTGAGAAGAGTTTCATATGCTAGACCATTTCTTGGTTTTTGTTGGTTTTCCCCATTGTCCAGAAGCTAGGCAGTGATCACACCACTACCTGACCACATAGATTTCTATAAGGAAGTAATATTCAGTTTGTCTTTGACTAAAGTTTAATATCCCCAGCATATGGTTGCATTTGACTTTGGTATTTAGGACCTGTGATTTCTTTATGTTTAGGTAAAGAAGAAAGTATTAAGAAACCTCTTGTCAGTTTTCCCCCAAAAGTAATTTCCTGAGAATGGCCTAACTTAGGTATTCAAAATAAATTCCCATCTGCAGCAAGCTGCAGGACAGCAGGAAGGGGTCAAACATGGACTGGGACATGAGGGTTATCTTTGCCTATGTAATTTGAACAACTTACATTGGAAATTTTGAAAAATCTATCTTTATTGGAGAAAAAACATCCTTCTTAAATGTTAGCCTTTAAGCAGAATGGTAAGTGCAATCGTTGTGTATCGACTTGACACTATAATAAACTGAACTGAACTTTCTCAGGCTGTACTGAATTTTTCACAATGTAGATGGTGTCTAGCTTATCCTGTCTCCAGTCCTTTGCACTGTACAAGTAGGTAGGTTGGTTAGTTGATCAGTTGGTTTGTTCACAGACAAACAGATGGATGACTTACAGACAGCAATAATACTGTCTTAGGTCCTCTCAAAACCTTTGCTCTTTAATTTGTTGACATAAATCTATGTTGAAACAAAAATCTGAAACAAAATAACAGTCTTGTATTGCTTCATTCCACCATGTTCTGTTTTTTGCTTGCCATTTATTTCCCTCTCAACAAATAAAAAGGAAAAATCTAGCCAGTAGGTTTGAATAGGTACTTCCATATACTATGTATTGATTTAATTCCAGACAAAATTCAACCCAGTAAATTTCATGAGTGAGAAGTGGGAATGGTTGTTCTATTTGTTTCCAAAGCATTTAGATGAAAACTTCATATTGTTCATGTGTCAGTCAGCTTTCCATTGCTGTGACAAAGTACCTGACACAAACTACTTATAGGAAGAAGGATTTCTTTTTGGCTCACAGTTTCAGAATTTTTGATCCAAGATCAACTGGTCCAAGACAAAGCTCCATTGCTCTGGACCTGAGGCAAAGCAAAACATCATGACAGAGTGTGATAAAGAAGAGCTGCTCACTTTATGGAAGACAGGCAGGGTCGGAAAAAGGAGGGGAAGGGGCGAAAGGGGCTGGATTAGTTCATTGATGACATTAGTACCCGCCTGCCTGCTCACATCTCAGTAATATCGCTAGAAATCACTGTTTCATTTTGATTCCACTTTTTTCTTTAAAACATTTTTATTTTTTAATATTTATTATTTTCGTATGTGCATGTGTGTATTGCCTGCATGTAGGTAAGTGCACCTGTGTTGTGCAATGCCTGTGGAAGACAGAAGAGGCTGTCGGATCCCCTCGAATTGGAGTTACGGACAGTTGTTAGCTGCCCTATGGGTGCCAGGATTCGAACCCGGGTCTTCTGCAAGAACAGCCAGTGTTCTTAACCACTGAGCCATCTCTCCAGCCCCGATTCAGCTTCCTTTCAAAGTTTTTTATCTTTATGTGTGTGTTTGAGTGTACATATGTGTACCACATGCATGCACATGTTTACAGAGGCCAGAAGTGTCAGATCCCCTGGAACTCAAGCTGCAGGCAATTGTGAGCTGCCTTGTAGGTGTTGGGAACTGACCCGAGAGCAGCGAGTGCTCTTAACACTGGGCATCTCACCAGCCTTTATTCAGTTTACTAAGTTTAGGTAAATATGCCTGAGAAAATAGTGGTGGATACATGGGTCACTTATAAGGTGATTAGTCATTTTGATATGATCACTAATGGTTCTTCTAATTGATGTCAAATGCACACAGGCCTTAAGATTCATGATTCAATGACATTTTTAATGTAGTTGAATAAATTCTTAAGCATTTTTTTTTTCAGAAGTAATGGAAATTCATTTTCTACCTTATAGTCTGTAACTGTGGAAGGAAAAAATCCAGAGCCTCACTCAGAACACCACCACCATCTAGGGGCCTTTCCTTTAATTGCAAGTCCTTCCTTCTCTATCACAGACGACTCGGGGAGGGGGCACCAGAGCGCCAACCTAGATGTCAGATGAAAGTAATCCAAGATGAGTCTGGGCATGTTCTGGAGGTTGTGAAAGAAATCCCAATTGTATGTACACCATGGATTGCTTATTTATTTTTAAATAGTGTAAGTTCAGTGATGATAATTCATTGACATATTTTCCAGAAGTAATAATCCAAATCCATAATTCAGAAAATATTACCTACTGGTTGCTTATCCATTTTTCAAAAATTAACTAGCAAGTCAGCCATCATAACACATACCTTTAATCCCAACATTCAGGAGGCAGAAGCAAGGTGAGATCGAAGCCAGCCTGGGATGGTCTACATAGCAAGTTTCAGGTCAACTGGGGCTACACAGTGAGACCTTGTCTCAAAAAAAAAGAAAAAAAGTCAACCAACTTACAATGACAGGAAGTTTATTTTGCCTTATGGTTTCACAGGTGGTCACTTGCCCTTGCCCCCGCCCCCGCCCTTGCATGTGACAGTTCAGCATGGCAGGATGTATGGGAAAGGAGGCTGCGTACCCCACAGCAGCCAGGAAGCAAAGGGGAAAGGAATCAGTGTCCCAGTATCTCCTTCAAGTATACGGCTCCTATGACCACACATCCCTACTATGACCCATGTCTTCAGTGTTTTCTCCACCTCCCAATAGCACTGCAGGCTTGGGGATATAGCAGTCTGAAAAATGGTGGTACACACATTTAATCCCAGCACCTGGGAGGCAGAAGTAGGTAGATCTCTGGTGAGTTCAAGGCCAGTCTGGTCTACATAGCAAGTTTCAGGTCAGCCAAGCTACATCGGTGAGACCCTGTCTTTTAAAAAAAAAAATTAGAAACATAACCACAATTCTCAGAACTCCTAATTTGATGTAATTCTCTGTTGAATGTTGCTATAGTTTGAATCTAAAAATATACGTCAAAGGCACATGTCTTAAAGGCTTAGCTCCAGCCTGTGGTGGCAGTGAGATCATCAAGAGGTGGCACATAGTTGGAGGAAGTATCCTTGAGGGGGACATTGAACCTTGCAGTCTTCTCTACCATGTGTTTCTGCCTTGATGTTTTCCCTCAACACAGGCAGGACTTCAAGTGCATACCACTGCTCCTCGCTTGACCTCTTTTTTTTTTTTAATATCTTATTTTTTTATTTTATGTGTATGAATGTATTGTCTGCAAGTATTTGAGTGCACCCGTGTCGTGCAATGCCACGGAGGTCAGAAGAGGGCTTCGGATTCCCCCAGAACTGGAGTTAAGGATGGTTTGTAGCCACCATGTGGGTGCTGGGAATCGAACCTGGGTCCTCTGCAAGAGCAATCAGTGCTCTTAACTGCTAAGCTTGACCCCATAATTTACTCTCAGGAATTTATCTAAAAAAAAATGAAATGTTAGGGGCCGGAGAGATTGCTCAGCATTTCCACGGCAATATACTCATAAACATAAATTAATAATAAAAAGAAATGAACTGTAATGCCCACACAACAAACTTGCTTAACCTTCATAATCGTTTTTTTTTGGGGGGGGGTTCTTTTTGAGACAGGGTCCTGAACTCGCTATGGAGACCAGGCTAGCCTCAATCTCTGTCCACCTGCCTCTGCTTCCCAAGTGCTGGAATTAAAGGCCTGTGCCACCACACCAGGCTAAAAAACATTCTTATCAGTTTTATTCATGGTATTAAAAGTATAATAGATTAGGCAAACAAATTACAGTATTTGTATATTGAAAGTGAAAGAAGGAATTGATTCCACATGGATAATTTTTTTTTAATGTGTACAAGTATGTATTGCTGAACGTATGTTAAAGTGCACCTGTGTCGTACAGTGCCCACGGAGGACAGAAAAGACTGTCGGAGTCCCTGGAACTAGAGTTACAGACAGTTGTTAACTGCCTTATCAGTTTTACTCATGGTATTAAAAGTATAATAGATTGGGTAAACAAATTACAGTATTTGTATATTGAAATAGTGAAAGGAATTGATTCCACATGGATAGATTTTTTTTTTATGTGTACAAGTATGTATTGCTGAATGTATGTTAAAGTGCACCTGTGTCGTACAGTGCCCACAGAGGACAGAAAAGACTGTCGGAGTCCCTGGAACTGGAGTTACAGTTGTTACCTGCCATGTGGGTGCTGGGATTCGAACCCAGATCTTCTGCAAGAACAATCAGTGTTCTAACTGCTGAGCTGTATCTCCAGCCCCCACATGGATAGATTTTAAGTGTTAATAATAAGCAAAAGAGCAGAATGGGCACTATATAATTTCATGAATTCAAAACTATGGTGGTAGAAATAAGAACAGTGGTTGTGGTGGGAGGGGGTTAGAAAGGGACATAGCAACTAACTGGAAGGGGTATGAAGGAACTTCGTAGGGAAGCAGATTTATATATTGACTGATGTTATCTATCATGACCATATGAAGTTGTCAACTCAGAGATTTAGATTTACCCACTATCCATGTATTTTAAAAATTTAATTATTAGTGTATTGCGTGTATGTAGGTAAGTGCACCTGTGTCCTGCAATGCCTGCAGAGGTCAGAATAGGTCATCGGATCCCCTGGAACTGGAGTTATGGATGGTTGTTAGCCACTGTGTAGGTTGCTGGGAACCGAACCTAAGTCCTCTGCAAGAGCAGCTAGTGCTCTTAACTGCTGAGTCACCTCTCCAGCCCACTGTCCATGCATTTTATGTAAACTGTGACTCAGTCTGAAAAATGGATCTAGTCAGCCAGTTCATTTGCTGCATTTTGCTATACTCTAGGGTCTGTCTGTTCCAGTTGGACATGCATACACTGATTCACCTCCTTCACACCTACCTGGATCTGGAGCCAAACCTACAGACACATTTTTCCCCCTCTGTACGGGCTTCTTGGTTTCCATGGTATTCGGGCCCTGGGCTGTAGTTATAATTGCACTGTGGCTTGGGTACCACCTCCAGGAGTTATGTGGCTGGATCTGATCATGCTGTCCAGTGTCCTAGTGGTCCTAAGTCACAATCAGCAGCATCATTGATACCTGACAACAGCACCCTGAAGATCTTACCGTCTGCAGTCATCTAGCTCTTTGTAGGGACCAGCAGTGTGTGCAGGGTTCTCTTCTGCAGCTGTGCTGGAAAATGTGGTTCTGAATCTTGTCCTTCCCGAGGTACTATTTCCATATGGTCTCATCCTCATACTCAATTCTTTTTGTTTTTAAGACAGGGTCTCCCTGCAGCCCCAGCTGGCCCTGGAACTGTAGACCAGGCTGGCCTTGAGCTCACACAGAAATCTGCGTGGCCTTGAACTCAAGAGATCTGCCTGCTGGAACTAAAGGAGTGTGCCACACCATGCCCAGTGAAGTACTTCCTGTTCATTTGCTGTAGTTTCATAAATGCTGGCAGAAGACATGAGGCTACTGGATCAGAAACCAATAAC